TGTAGGGAAGAAAAGAGTACATCAGGGACCGAGTTCCAGCTGTACCTTGGTGTGTGGTTTTGGGTGAGCCACTGCACACCCCTGAATCACTCTGTACTAAAAGGGGATCACACCCTGACTCTGAAACCTCCGTGCCCAGCATCCATCATCCTGCCCCTGCCCCTCACCCCCGCTCCCAGCTGGGTCATTCAGGAAGTACCTAAAACAAATGTAGGTTTAGGTAATATGGGGGTTTTCTTCCTCCTTCCCCCATACTGCTCCACAAAAGTGTGTCTCTTCCTGGAATCCCATTCTGCCTTCATGAGAGGCTGAAATCTTCAGAAAAAATCTATAGAAGCAGCCAGAAGTGCTGTCCTGGCTTCCTCTTATTTGTTCTTGGTGAAGGTGGCTTTAGCTCCCTCATGTTTCATCCTGCTTTCCAGGGAGTCACCTGTCCTCAGGTTTATAAACACTTTAGCTTACAAGATACATTTTTCTTTTTGGCCAAAAAGTAGCAGGGTAATGAGAATTTCCCCCTAAATTCCTGTGAGACATTGAGCCTCTCAGAATTCTCCCTGGTGGGCAGTTTCTTTCAATGCCATCTCATTCTCAGACCGGTCATGGGATTATTTTTCCATTTGGGTAGGCAAAAGTTGTGGTACCCTGTGGCATTATAATATCTCACTTTGAAGTTTTCAGCTCTTAAGGTTTTCCTTTGAAAGCTCTTTCATTTAGAAAGTAAAATGATAGCTAATGTGTAAGTGTGGCTGTCCTGTGGCATGAAAGGTGTGGAGATGCCAAACATTGTGACTGGGAGTGATGGCCGTTCTCACACTCCACTCCTCTCCTGGGTACTGGGATATGAATTTTGTGAATTTCAAGTCATTTTCTGTCTGCTTTCTGGACTCAGAAAAATGGCTTGCTTGAAATGCAAGGAGCAGACATCAGTCAGATATTCCTCCGGAGCATTTGCTCCATGGGGAAGCCGTGTGACTTGTGGATGAAGATGCTAGTGATGAATTTACTGTTTGCCAATTCGCTGCTTTCCTTCCATCTCACTGGGCCACGTGTTGAGCTGGACAGCCAGTCAGCTGCTCTCGGGGGTTCTTGCAGATGTGCCTCGCCTCCTGGCACATCAGGTGGGACCTGTTACAAGTGAAATACTTGAAACTTTTCTGGGGCCAACAGCCTCTGACACCACTCTGCTGGGTTGGAGGGGGGCTCTTTCTGACCAGACTGGGGCACCATTCAGCCACTGGTCACATTCCTCACTTCAAACTGAAATTCAGTTTGGCTTTGAGTATAGGGACACATGGTGGTGGACTCATCTACTTCGGTGTTTGTTTTGACCAAAAGTTTATTTTTCTAGTGCATTTTCTAAGTCGAAGTGGTGAAAACATGTAATTTTAGTATGCATGACGGAGTCTCCAACAATAAAAATCCCTGTAAGGACGAACGTGTGTGGAGTCCCTTTGTGACAATGGCAGCTTGGATTACAGTTCTGAAGTTTAGTTATTCCTGGTGTGCAGGCCCGGCAGAGCCTCCCTGCAGCGGAGGCAGGAGGGCACTGACAGCACAGTGCATCCTACAGACGCAGGGCTGCTGTGCGGGAGATCACGTGCAACTAGAAGACACCGGTGTGTAGAGGAGGATGGAGCTGATGCCCAGTGGTGCAGTGTGCACATTTTTTGGTTCTCAAGGCCCAGATATACTTTCTGGACCAGCCCTGAATCCTTCTAGTGACAGCGAACAGTTCCTGAGAACTCAAGTGGGCTGAGCATGATGGTGGCCTTCACATAGATAATCTCACTGAATTGTCAGGCACCCTTAGTGAAGCGGGATTATTGCCCCTGTGGGATGAGACACAAGTAGAGCATTTTGCCCGAGGATGCACAGCTATTCCAGCACAACTGGGATTCAAAGCCAGGCAGTCAGCCCACTGTTTCCTCCTGATGGTGCTAGGCTGTGCACTTCTCTTTTATTCTTATTGTCAGCCCACGCACGGAACACAAAAGGGAGGAACTTTTAGCGTGAGGAAGCATCAGTCTAAAAATTGGCTTTATTTTTTTTCTTGGCTTCTTAGAAAATACAGTGTCTTAACTTCTGACACCCAAGTTGTAATGAACACATTATTCTAGAAGCTCCTACAAGGACACCCAGACTCCTTGGGAGGTAACGGGTACGGCCTGGTCAATGGCCTCTGCATGCTGAGCCGTTCCTCTGCCTGTCCCATTTGTTTCTATAGAGGAGTGCGCACTCTGCCCCAGAGACAAAGCCCAGGCCCTGTGGTGGGCCTTGTGTGTTGGTGATGACTCAGCTGAGAAACTCCTGCAGGAGGTCCGCACATTCTCTGTTGGCTTCTGATGACTCGACAGGTGAGTACTCACATTGCAACATCGCTCCTCCGGTCAGCCTTCCCGGAGGAGCCTGCGGAGCTTAAACTCAGTCTGTTTCTCACATCTGGAAAATGGAGCTAATGGCTCCTCCCTTCTCACCTTATAGCAGTGTTACAAGGTAGTTAGGACGCACTTTATAAGCCACTGGAGTTACTGTCTATGTTATGAGTCAGCATTTTCTTGTTTCTTTTCTAAAATACCTTAGTTTCCCTACTGCCCACTCTTTACATAGAACTGGCTTGGCATTCCTAATAAATAGCAGTAAATGTTTCACATTATTGCATTTATAGCTGAGTAATAAAATCATTTAAGGTGCCACTTTACTGGGGAAAAAAATGTTTTTAACTAAATGTTCACCCTCTTACCTGATAAGGTGCCAGCCATTAGGGATACAGTGACCTAGTAAAATACTAGCTACTGCCTTAGCGGATTACTAACTTTCCTTTATTAATGATGGGTAAGCTTAGAGAGCCAGCTGACTCCCCTGTAGGTCCAAGCAGTCTCTAATTTATCTTGTCTCCTACATCCTAGTAGGCCAAGGGACAATGGGGCCTAACTGAAGAAAACTAAGTCAGCCTGGGGTTTGTTTCTGTGTAACTGAGGGCAGATCACTAAGTTCTGTAAGTGCTGGTTTGACCTGGAAAGCAGAGAATCACCACCACCTTGCAGGGGTGTGGACAATGCCTGTTCATTGCTTGGTACATGTAGGTATTTATGTGGTAGTCATGACTGTTCTTCACCCAAGGTTACAGGCATCACGCGGTGAGTCACCCAGCAGGACTTAGAACATCACTGAGTAGGTACCACGATGGATACAATAGACCAACACAAAGGAGGAAAGAGATGAAGTGCTGCTCCCGTTAGTAAGCACAAGCCTGGTATCTGCCATCCATCTGCAAAGATCAAATGCATGACTCATATTATTGAATACTCATTTTAGCTTAATGTGTAAAAAGAAAAATACAGCCAAGCAAAAACTTGGACCAAAAAGCTGTCCTGGTTTAAATTAAGCCTGAGTTAGGATTGGGTCCAGAACATCAAAAGCACTGACAACCAGGTCCATGGTCGTTCTCTGGCAGTACCTTTGGTTGTCAAGAGAAAGTTTTATTTCCCAGCGAAATGAGGACCTTGTAACAACCACCTAGAAAGTAAATAGCCAGGATGGGCCTACAGGCTTTTTCCCAGATGTAACTAGGTCTCGCAGATGTTGCCTTTGATGAATCCCTACAGCATACTGCGGACCTCAAAGCCAGGGCCTGATCGGTAGTCCTGGGAGACAGACAGAGACAGGGCTGAGTGGTGATGAAACACTGGGCGACTCATCGGGGTGAGATGACACCATGAGGTCTGACGATTCAGAATACTCCCCTGCTTCACAGTCTGACCCTGGGCTTAGGCAAGATGCCGACGTCTCTGCTTGTTTGTGATTCAGCACTCACGTGTGTAATCACTTCCATCTTGGCTAATCTACTGGGCTTCCAACTTAAAACCATGCACAGCAGGGACACTGCCCCCTAATTTTTAAAGAAAATTTGTTATTTTAAATTAAATATCAAAGTTTCTATTGTGATAAAAAATTTAAATACTTTATTGGACTTTATTAAACCTATGTTACAGTTTAGTATTGCTTTTATTTTGAATTATATAAGGTGGGGAGGGGAGTGTACCATGTTTCTGAAGTTTAGGACCTTTAATGGGTTTACTCTGGGTGGCCCTGCTGTTAAGGAAAGTGGGGTATCTGCTTTACACTGGAAAAGGGCTAAACCTATACTGTCTGCCCCCCAAATCCTTTACAACCTTATCTCTGTACCCCAACATTAACCAGTGGTTTAAAAGATGGTGGTTCCAACAATTCCTATCATCAAGCCCTGCTTCCCTACCCCCCCACACCTGCACCCCAACCGAGTGTGTGCCCTCTATGTTCCCTGTGTTTAATTCTGTAAGAATACCTCAAATCTAGGCTGCACTAGATTTTGGCTGAAAATCTACGACTTTGAATATTGTCCAGTAGATTTTTAGCCC